AGGAAAAATATGACTCTGATCACCGAAATAAAAGGACATTAGCTGGGAAATTCCGAGGTTTATTGACACAGGATAACTGTCTTAATCAATTAGATCCGTTGATAGTTTAATAGAACCAAAAGTACTAAACATTTAATATTACATTCTCTGCCTTATACCAGCTATAATGAAGGTTCTGAGGATAGTCTACGTTGTGTCGATATTCCTCATAAGTAAAAGTCTATCTTCAAAGTGTACAACAACTAGAACCGGAAATGATGTGTTTACGGATTGTCATGGAAGGGCTTTCCGGAATGTGCCTAGAAATATTCCTAACGATACCACATATTTGGACATGTCTGACAATAAGTTGCCCATTATTTTAAACTTCTCATTTTCCGGACTAAAACATGTTTCTAGTTTGAAATTATTATCCGCTCAGATATCAGTTATCGAGTCAAAAGCGTTTTCTGGATTAGTTAAACTGACTTCATTGGACTTGAGCAAGAACTTTCTTGGTATACATTCTCTACCGGATCATGTATTTGATTCCTCGTCTGTTTTGAGGATTTTAGATTTATCTCAGAACTACTTCCGTCATTATCCAGAGAAAGTTTTAGAAAAATTATCAAACTTAGAGAGATTATCAATCAATGGTATTAACAACCAAATTTTTGGGAACGGATTTCGTTCTCTCCGTAAATTAATATATCTTAATTTTGACCCGTGTATAATAACTAGGATAGACAACAACACATTCGATGCTTTTAAGAATATACAACTGAAGGAACTGATTCTTGAATGTAAGATAACGTATGTGGAAGCAGGTGCTCTCAGCCCATTTCAGTCATTAGAAAGTCTCGATATTTCCATGTCTGTAATGGTTTTCATAAAATAGAATTGACATCATTGAAATTCACAAATAGATGGCAATGCATTAATGGAACAGTTCAACATGACATGTTTATTAACTACAATCTCGAAACCATCCTTGTGGCAAGAGTACACCATTGCAGATTTGATTAAATACTAGTATGCTATTTAGCTTTCATTGAAGCAACATTCAGCCAGAACCGCTTACAATAAACAGATTATCAAAGCTAATTGTGTAGAATACGGAGATATGATATAGCTGCAATTGTCGGATTGCAGACTTTGAAACTCACCTTTGAGTTCATTCATTCCAACCGAAGAAGACTATGACCACTCAAACATCAAACGGGCCTTTTTCGATGATAAGAGACTATGACCACTCAAACATCAAACGGGTCTTTTTCCATGATAAGAGACTATGACCACCCAAACATCGAACGGGTCTTTTTTTATGATAAGAGACTATGGCCACCAGATAAGAGACTATGACCATCAGTTTATAAGGCAAAAAAGAACTAACAGATAAACTACGAATTAAATACTGTAATTATAAAATATGACGATTTTCACCCGAATATCAATACATAGTTGAAGTATCATGAATTTATAGAGTTGTCGTTTGTTGATGTGGTTCATAAGTGTTTCTCGTTTCTCGTATTTTATATAGATTAGACCGTTGGTTTTCCTGTTTGAATGGTTTTACACTAATCATTTCTGGGGCCCTTTATAGCTTGCTGTTCGGTGTGAGTCTAGGCTCCGTGTTGAAGGCCGTACTTTGACCTATAATGGTTTACTTTTACAAATTGTGACTTGGATGGAGAGTTGTCTCATTGGCACTCATACCACATCTTCTTATATCTATATATTATGTTCGATTTACAAGAATCAGCATTTTATTTTTCCGGTTTTTCCCCATTTGTTCGCATATACATTACATTTTGTGCCAGATTACTCTACTATTATTATTTAATAGCTCTTGAAGTGGGGGAAGTGTAGTGGCGCTTTCCTTGAGCTAGAAGATTGGTAACTGTTTTAACCCGTTTCATATATTGGCTCCATTTAATTCAATGGACTGTGTTGATTTACCCGTGGCTTACTGTCCCAGAGGCCCCAAGCTTGTGTTGATCGACCCGTGGCTCACTGTCTCAGAGGCCCCAAGTTTTACCTTGACCCGTGGCTAACTGTCCCAGAGGCCCCAAGTTTGTGTTGATTGACCCGTGGCTAACTTTCCCAGAGGCCCCAAGATTTTGTTGATTGACCCGTGGCTTACTGTCCCAGAGGCCCCAAGATTGTGTTGATTGACCCGTGGCTTACTGTCCCATAGGTCCCAAGTTTGTGTTGATTGACCCGTGGCTTACTGTCCCAGAGACCCCAAAATTGTGTTGATTGACCCGTGGCTTACTTTCCTAGAGGCCCCAAGATTGTGTTGATTGACACGTGGCTTACTGTCCCAGAGGCCCCAAGATATTGTGTTGATTGACCCGTGGCTTACTGTCCCATAGGTCCCAACTTTGTGTTGATTGACCCGTGGCTTACTGTCCCAGAGGCCCCAAGATTATGTTGATTGACCCGTGGCTGATTGTCCCAGAGGCCAAAAGTTTGTGTTGATTGACCCGTGGCTTACTGTCCCAGAGGTCACAAGTTTTACCAAAAGTGTGTGTGTGTGTGTGTGTGTGTGTGTGTGTGTGTGTGTGTGTTCTAATTATATACATGTAGCTATTCAGCTAAACAAATAGGTTGGTTTTTTGGGCTGTTTGAAATATAACAGATCGTTTTAGCTTAACTATGTAACCTAGCCTAGTGTGAGATGTTGTTATCATTTGTCGTTCGTTAATTGTTTGGTTTTGTTTTTTATTCTTTGCTGAAATCACAAGGCTAACTGAAAACCAAGCTTCGCTAAAATAAACCTGAAAGTGTTTGTTAACTAAAAAGTAAAATAACAAAAATACCGAACTTCAAGGAAAATTCAAAACAGAAAGTCCCTTATCAAATGGCAAAATCAAAAGCTCAAACACATCAAACGAACGGAATACAACTGTCATATTCCTGACTTAGTACAGGCATGTCCTTATGTAGAAAAAAGTGGATGAAACCTGGTTTTATAGCAAGCTAAACCTCTCACTGGTATGACAGTCGCATAGAATTCCATTTTATTGACAACAATGTGTGAGCAAAACAAACAGACATAAAAGTAAAAGTGTCAAAAATTAGGGTACAGCAGACAACATTGTGTTATAATCTTAATCAATATAAAACAAACAACTATGTCAACAACAAAAAAAACATATTGACACTCTATAGACAAAGCACATAAGCAAAAATGGAAGACAGCTACAAAAAATGACCATAGCACAATAACACAATGGCGGGATGTATAAATACCGAGCAACGCCAAAAGGATATTACCAAAAATGGACTAAACAGTAAAGGTTAACTGTATTAGATGTTCAGATCTTAACAAATAACTCTACCACCTTTACAATAACTAAACAGTTAGATAAAAAGAAACAATAAATGAACGTTGTAAATTAAAAGGTTTAATGAAAATGCTACATTAATAAAAAAAACTGTCAAGGGCCAAGTGTTACAAAACTTTTGATGAATGATGCATTTATGATCCCCTTAAACTATTGTGGTTGATATCCCCAAATGCAATCCGTCATGGCAGCCCTCCTGGTACTACAATACAATGTGTGACATATGCATCTTGCCTGACATTTTTTAGTGAATGCAAAAATTTTATTCAACTGTTTTGGCGTCATGTTTATAACTTAAGTTAGGCGCATTCGTTCCCCCTCCTCTTCCCCAGTGTATGCTGTTGTCTGCTCTATGGTCGGGTTGTTGTCTTTTTGACACATTCCCCATTTCCATTCTCAATTTTATTTATGCAGTTATAAACAGTTGACCTCAAATCTTTCCTGATCAAATACGCGGTTTAGAATTAATAAAACAACAAGACAAGAAAATCAGAACAAAGGAACAGACATTTTGTCTTTTTAAAAAACATGTAGAAAATGGAATTGTTTGCCTTAAGTGGTGATACATATGTATTATCATTTACTGTAATCAAATAAGAATATCCTCTCTATCTCATTGCATGCAGAATAATAGATGTGGACTCATCAGGAGCAAAACTACATGGAAATGATAACGGCGATACTGTAAAATATCTAGCTGCAAGCATCGAACAGCGAAATAACAAATTGTCTGGCGATAGTTAATGCCAAGTACATTAAAAGAAACTACAACTCTTCTGTCAAAAACACGATCACATACTAGGCAAAATTTATCCACATTTTCTAATACTATATGCAATAGATCAACTATATTTAGTGTATGGAATGATTGTAAGGTGTACATGTTAGGTTTCATCTGACCTTGACCTCATTGTCAGAGTTCATTGGTCAGTTGGGAGTTTTTGGATTTTAAAATGATGATGATGATGATGATGATGATGATGATGGTGATAATGATGATGATGATGATGATGATGATGATGATGATGATCATTTTTTTTAGTCTCGCCTGTCAGACGGCGGCGGCGGCGTAATCTATTTGTATATGCGAGACAAAAAAATCCTCCTCCTCCTCCTCCTCCTCCTCCTCCTCCTCCTCCTCCTCCTCCTCCTCCTCCTCCTCCTCATCATCATCATCATCAAGTTGCTTCAATTTCTCTTCACAAGGTTTTATAGTACATATTTTTTTTGTGTACAAAGTAATTCATGCTTAGTTACTTTGTGCACGATAAAATTATGTACTATGAAACTTGGAATGTAAATTTAAGCAATTTGATTGGACGAGGAGTTGCCAGTATATGCTAATATATACTTAGCCCATATTAACTACTTAGTGCTTTTTTATTTTCCACATTCTTAAACTTTTTATCTGTTATCACAAGTACGTTTTTCGAATCATTTCTGTTATTTTCTGTTAATTTATATTGTCGTATGAAGATATCTACATTTCTGAAAATACCAAAAAGACAAATACGCATAGTGATCTTAACAATAACTTTTGTTCAAATTTTCTTTCAAGTACAATAAATATAATAGTTATCTTTTATTTCCAGAAAATTTACAATGTATTTGTTTTTAAGTTGATTCAAGTGCACACTTAAAATGTTGCAAGAGAATTCTAAAAATGTTCTGATATATGAATGTACGACTTTCTGAATCCGTTGATAAATCACCATCTTTACAATGCAAACGTTTACAAAAATGGAACTTCAGAGCCATAGACATTGAAGGAAAAATATGACTCTGATCACCGAAATAAAAGGACATTAGCTGGGAAATTCCGAGGTTTATTGACACAGGATAACTGTCTTAATCAATTAGATCCGTTGATAGTTTAATAGAACCAAAAGTACTAAACATTTAATATTACATTCTCTGCCTTATACCAGCTATAATGAAGGTTCTGAGGATAGTCTACGTTGTGTCGATATTCCTCATAAGTAAAAGTCTATCTTCAAAGTGTACAACAACTAGAACCGGAAATGATGTGTTTACGGATTGTCATGGAAGGGCTTTCCGGAATGTGCCTAGAAATATTCCTAACGATACCACATATTTGGACATGTCTGACAATAAGTTGCCCATTATTTTAAACTTCTCATTTTCCGGACTAAAACATGTTTCTAGTTTGAAATTATTATCCGCTCAGATATCAGTTATCGAGTCAAAAGCGTTTTCTGGATTAGTTAAACTGACTTCATTGGACTTGAGCAAGAACTTTCTTGGTATACATTCTCTACCGGATCATGTATTTGATTCCTCGTCTGTTTTGAGGATTTTAGATTTATCTCAGAACTACTTCCGTCATTATCCAGAGAAAGTTTTAGAAAAATTATCAAACTTAGAGAGATTATCAATCAATGGTATTAACAACCAAATTTTTGGGAACGGATTTCGTTCTCTCCGTAAATTAATATATCTTAATTTTGACCCGTGTATAATAACTAGGATAGACAACAACACATTCGATGCTTTTAAGAATATACAACTGAAGGAACTGATTCTTGAATGTAAGATAACGTATGTGGAAGCAGGTGCTCTCAGCCCATTTCAGTCATTAGAAAGTCTCGATATTTCAATGAACTTGCATGTCAGGGTGTCTAATCTTCTTGAATTACTGAACGGTCTTATGGACAGAAATATAACATCAATAAACTTTAGACACAATTTCAGAACTTCCGCAGCTACTGACGTATTGTTGGCGTCACAGTTTTCAATGCTTGGAGCAGTCTGCGTGAAAGAAGTCGACTTGACTCGTAACCAAATAAGTGTTATACAGGCGGGAGGAATACATCTAATGAAACATAAACATTGTCTAGAAAAACTTATTCTTAAAGAAAATGAAATTTCTGGTGAACGAACTACTCTTCTAGAAATGGCTCAACTGATAAACTTACGCTGGTTGGATATATCGAATCAAGCCACGATACTCGTCAAAACGAAAGTTAAGAAAAACAAATATTATGGACGTCGTTTAGATATCACAGGTACAAAATATTCCTCTGGCCGAATAACGTATTACTTTCAATTACCACATAATTTGCAATATCTCGATATATCATATATTGGTGTAAAAGGTACTGGTTTAAGTAATATAAATTTAACAAATGCTGATAAACTTGATAACATGAATCTAGCTGGTAATAAATTCAAACATTGTCTTGGCCATTTCTATGGACTCCCACATTTACAAACAATTGACATATCGGATTTTAATTGTAGTTACCTTGATCTCAATATGATCAGTTTTATGCCAAATCTAAAAACACTGATTAGCAGAAGAACACATTTAAATGTCGGATTGCAAAATGATATAAATGGTGATTTTTTAAAACAATTATTTGGGCTGAGACATATTGACTTCTCAGACAATGGGTTTATTACATTCAATCAAAACATGTTCATATCGCAGTACCGTTCACTCATTTCATTAGACTTATCAAAAAACAAGTTTTCCAAATTCCCAATTCATATCAGCAAATTTTCAAATTTGATGAAATTAAGTCTCGTGCAGAATCAGATTGCTCTTCTGCAGAAATCTGATATGAACCAACTGGAGAACTACCAACGTGAGAATAATATTAAATTTGAGCTTCTTTTGAATGACAACCATTTCGTTTGCAATTGTGATTCGATCGATTTTGTGAAATGGCTTCAGGAAACAAAAGTGACACTAGATGAAAACCGTAACTACTCGTGTGTTTATATTGATAACAGCCTAAAATCAACAGTTTATGCATACAAACATCTTGAATTCATCGAAAGTAAATGTCTCAGTAAGACATGGCTTAACATAACGATAATCCTTGTGGTTGTTATTCTTTTCATTTTCACATCAAGTTCCATAGCATACAAATATAGAATAACTCTGCATTTTTTGCACCTTCATATCCGCCGGAAGTACCGCCATTACACAGCACTGGAAGGAGATTCTAAAGAGTACAAGTATAATGCATTTGTTGCTTATTGTAATGAAGACGAAGAATGGGTTTGTGGGCCTCTCGTTAATTATTTGGAAAAGACAAATGGTTTGGCGTTATGTTTACACGATAGAGATTTTGCAGCTGGGAAGCTTATTATGGATAATATCATAGACGCCATTTTTGAAAGCAAAAAAGTAGTTCTTGTTATCAGTCATGAATTCTTGAAAAGTTCATGGTGCGAGTTTGAACTTGATATGGCGAGGATGAAAATGTTTCAAGACAACAGAGATATGTTGGTCGTTGTCCTGTTGGACAAACTTTCTACATCACAAATGCCAATCTCTTTACAGAGAATTTGGAACAAAGTGACTTGTTTAGAAGTTGACGAAACAATTTGTACAAATCAAAATGACAATTTTGAACATTTATTTTGGAAAAGATTATATGAAGCAGTCGTAATGTAAAATAAAATCTAATAAAAAGTTAACCAATTGTAATTATTACACGAATAAAGGAGACGTGAGGCATACCAAAAGCAATCTATGGACAAGTGCCTTTAAAACATTTAGAGCTCTAAATCACACAGAAATATTGTCGATGGAGAGGTATCGTCAAGTTTGCGTTATTATATTTATATTATGTATGTCATAATCAAACAAACCCGTAACAATTCTGCTTCTAATGGCACCAAGTTGCTTAAAATCAGAAATGACCCCAAAATAATGTTTTGAAAAAAACCCAACCTAGATTAATTTTATATGAAATGAAATATATATGTGAAAATCCCTGGTGACGAAAACTTATAGTCACAGATTGTTGTCTATGACCCTTCCAAATATGTTGACAAAGTTGGTTGTGTATTTATTTCTAGATATTAATAGAAATTTTGAAAAAAAAACAGAAAGGAAAAGGTCGTACTGCTTTACATGCTATGAATATTATATATGCAGGGCTAACACCATAATATATATATATATAATTCGTCTCAAATTTAGCCAAACAATGTTAGATCTGCAATTTGCGTTCCCAAATTTTTGTTCTTCCCTCAGCGGGATTCGAACCCTTGCTTCTGTGACATCGTGGCAATTCCGCGATAATATATATATATATTATACTGATGAGATGCGTAGATGATCATTCCTGTATACTTAAAAATACTTCGTGAATTGTGATTAGGCGTTCTTGTTTAATACCTACGAGAAGGTAACACCTTCCGAAACGAAAGCTGATTTTTTTTAACAGCTATAGTTATAGGAGGGGATAAGGCGTCTGCGCAATGCTAGGCGGTGTTGCCGTAGAAGTGAAAAGTACAGGCTCCAGCCCCAGCTGGGGAGGAAGTAAAGAATCAGATCTACTCTGACATTGTTAGGTTTATTTTCTAGGCACTTTATACATATATACATATATACTTCGTCTCAAATTAGACCATTAAGGAGAGGAAGTAAAGAATCAGATCTACTCTGACATTGTTAGGTTGATTTTCTGGGCACTTTATACATATATATACATATATACTTCGTCTCAAACTTAGACCAATAATGGTAGGTCTGCAAATTTCGTTCAGCAACACCGCCTGCACTGTATCCGGCGCCCTGGACCACTCGACCAACTAGGCCATATAAAAATATAGCTTTCGTTAGTCGTGTAATGCCTTTCTTCGTCGCTAGGGTTGTAACCACAATACATGGTTTATAGTGGCAAGTGGATGGTATACCTTGAAGATCAGCTGTTTTTTATCTATCGTAAAGGATGACAATTTATATAGCCATACACAGTTTACTGAAGTACTTTCATTATAATATTCAGAAATTAAGGAGAATATGTATGATGACCGTTTTCTTGTTCTGCTATCTGTATAAACATAAGGCCACTAGTGCTTTTAGGCCTTTTATCGTGCAGTGAATATAAAATAAGTTCATGAGAATAATGCGAAGAAAACTTTATAGGGCGGACGGACGGGCTGATGGAAACACATACGATTGGACAAACATACACCTGTATACCCTTCTTAAATAATTAAAATGACACCATGTGTGTGGTTTCGGTCTATTTGTGTTTGTTTGATTTGTTTCGTTTTTTTTTTTAAAGTTTAATTCTATTAAAATTGACACCCCAAAACTTATTGCAATCAGGCTTAAAAGATCATTAAAGTGTCTCAAGTAACTTTCATATCTGAATTAAGAATGATTTTTTTGTATCCAATGTTAAACTTATCAGTAAACCAAGGTGTCCTTTACTGTTCACCATACATTAGATTTTCTACCGGTTATCATTGAGATGGCAAAACAGCCTAAAAGAGATTTATTTGAGGACTTAGAACTTTACAACGAGAAAGATGATAATCCTATTATTCCACTTGCAATGGGTGCTCCAGGGACAGACACAATCTCGGGATGTAAAGACATTTTACTGGAATCTACCAGGATAACACTGGTATGTAAAAGTAAGACGAGTTGTCTCCCTGTATATGGTGTTAAATTAGATCATAGTGTTTTTTTCATGAGTAACCTAAAATTATTTTGTTTTGAAACGGTTAAGAAAAAGATTAATTTGTGTCATTTGAATACCCACACCTGTGACAATTAATATTAGCCTTAAGTAAGTAAGACATTAAAGTTCAATATAATCGATGTAGCATCAAGCGAAAATGTTTAAATTTATAGTATGAAAAAGTTTTAAAATATGAACAAAAGGAGATGTACGGTAGGCCTATGTATAATTATGATGATTCGTCAATGCAACAACGACCCAACGACCAAAAGAACCAAAAGACATCCAGAGGGCAGCTTACAATCTTCAACAATAGACAGAATTGTCTGTACCATAATAATCGTTCCGAGAATGAATTTAACACAAAACAATCAATTCTCAAAATAACAAAACACATTTTAAAAAAGAGATATGACTTTGCTAACGTAAAATATTATTTCTCGCGACTTCAAACTGTGACAATTCGGGAAACGATGCATTTTTCGACTGATTTTAATCATTAACTTGAAAACGAGTACATGTAAAAAAAAAAAAGATGTGGTATGATTGCCAATGAGACAACTCTCCACAAGAGACCAAATGACACAGAAATTAACAACTATAGGTCACCGTACGGCCTTCAGCAATGAGCAAAGCCCATACCGCATAGTCAGCTATAAAAGGCCCCGAAATGACAAATGTAAAACAATTGAAACGAGAAAACTAACGGCCTAATTTATGTACAAAATAATGAACGAAAAACAAATATGTAACACAGCAACAAACGACAACCACTGAATTACAGGCTCCTGACTTGGGACAGGCACATACAGAATGCGGCGAGGTTAAACATGTTAGCGGGCGCCCAACCCTCCAGCTACATGGTCCTCTTTTTAAAAATGACGTTTGGCTTGATTATGTATGAAGATTATTTGTACCATTTTTTATGAACAATCCACCGATAATTTTTTTTTAAATTAGGTAGATATACAGCAAGAAATACCGGTTTTTCCTAAAATCATGATAATTTGATAGAATTGAATTATTTGCAAAAAATGTTTACACAAATTTATGGCATACTTGTGTAAAGACGATACTCCAAATGTTTTTACAAATCATGTGTTTATCTTTTGAAACACAAAAGTTGGGTATGTCTGTCCATGGAAGTAAAATGAAATGTCAATATAATACTTCCATGGTCTGTCCAAAGAATAGAAATTGTCCAAGAAACGGAAATTTTGAGTTAATATCTGAAATTTCGGCCCCATATATCTCTAAACAGTAGGATATTAAGGTATATTTGTTTATTACATATTTGAATTGACTAGGTGAAAAATATGCAATGTATTCTCGACCAGAAGATTTACAAAACGTATATAAATATGATAAAAGAACATACAATTAAAACCAGTACAGGCAAACACTATAAAGCTCTAAAGTAGATGTAACGTATGGGTACCCAGATTATGCCTATTCTGACAGTTTTTCCCCTAGGTTTATTTTAGAAATAGACAACAGTTTCCATTCTGTGTTTATTTTGTAGACGTATCGTTGTTACAGTACTATATAGTTCCACAAATTTAATTTTGAATCCATACTGAATCAAAGAAAAATTGGTCTCAACCGACCTACAAACGACCCAATATTCTGTAATGAGGAGTACCTAAATTGAACCCACGCTTTAATACACATCCGTAAAACTCGAATAACTGATGTTTCGTTTTATTTCTCATCATTTTTAAAATAATTGTACAATAGTCCATAATTACTATGCATTATGTAAGAAATGGATGCCGGTAACATCCTAATTACTCATTTTTAAAAGTTGAATTTAGTCTCTAAGAAAATCTGTATGATTTCTACTACTTTTTTGGCAAAATGGTTGGAAATTGGATACTCGGTGCAATTTGGGTACTGTGTATACTGTTATAGTAGGTAACAAAGAAACAAAAATAAAAAACAAATTATACCTTATTAAAGAATGCCCAAGTCACTGAAAGCAACTTCAAATATCTCCCAATTTGTCCTGTTGGGGCCTTTATAGCTGACTATACGGTATGGGTTTTCTCATTGGTGACCCATAGTTGCTTACATTCTCGGCTGTAACTTACAGCCGCGTCATTTGGACTCTAGTGGATAATTGTCTCATCGGCAATCAAACCATGTAGTCGGTTGCTGCATTTTTTTTTATTAAACAACGCCACAATCAGTATTGGAACACGTGATCTTGTGCAAGGCACCAAAACAAATTATACAGAAAAAAGACACTTTCTAGTCTCGCTTCATACCAAAACATATTGAACTATTCAACTTGAAAAACTACTCCCGAGGAAGCGTCTGTTGACCTGCGATGGGGTGTATAATTTCGCAACAACATTCAGTCGGAATGGGGACGATGAATCGTTCATGAAGAATGCAAGCTCTCTACACTATCTACACTCTTTGAGGGGTCTGTATAGGCCTGTTTTTATTTCGTCGATTTTGTTTTTGGACATGGTATTGAATAGTCTGTTTTTATTTCGTCTATTTTGTTTTTGGCCATGGTATTGAATAGTCTGTTTTTATTTCATCGATTTTGTTTTTGGCCATGGTATTGAATAGCCTGTTTTTGGCCATGGTATTGATTAGTCTGTTTGTCCTTTCGTCGATTTTGTATTTGGCTATGGTATTGAATAGTCTGTTTTCATTTCATCGATTTTGTTTTTGGCCATGGTATTGAATAGCCTGTTTCTATTTCGTCGATTTTGTTTTTGGCCATGGTATTGATTAGTCTGTTTTTATTTCGTCGATTTTTTTTTTGGCCATGGTATTGATTAGTCTGTTTTTATTTCGTCGATTTTGTTTTTGGCCATGGTATTGAATAGTCTGTTTTTATTCGTCGATTTTGTTTTTGGCCATGGTATTGCTTTGTCTGTTTTTATTTCGTCGTTTTTGTTTTTTGCCATGGTATTGATTAGTCTGTTTTTATTTCGTCGATTTTGTTTTTGGCCATGGTATTGAATAGTCTGTTTTTATTCG